GTGAGTTTTGTTGCTAGATTAGTTGTCTTAAGTTGCTAGGTTATTTCTTTCTTGCTGCTAGGTTAGTTGTCTTTTGTTGCTAGGTTAGTTCTTTCTTGCTGCTAGGTTAGTTGTCTTTTGTTGCTAGGTTATTTTTTTCTTGCTGCCAAGTTGTTCTCTGTAGTTGCTAGGTTAGTTCTCTGTAGTTGCTAAGTTAGTAGTTGCTAGGTTAGTTCTTTGTAGTTGCTAGGTTAGTAGTAGCTAGGTTAGTTGTCTGTAGTTGCTAAGAGTTGGTCCCATTTTAAGAGTTGGTCCCATTTTCCCTATATATATATATATATATAATACATGAGAGCTCGCAGGACGAATCGATTGGATTCTACTCCGCTTACTTGTTATTTATTTTAACGAGTAATGAGTAATGGGAAACCACTTTAGGATACTTGGATGACCTCCAATGTTCAAATCTAAGGAATATTGTCCTTACGATTCGAGCTTGTTCGGAAATAGTAACACTCTAAATAAAAAAAAAATGTGTAATAAGTCAAGCAATATTGCAATTTGATTGGAGCATTTATGTATTGTTTGTGGAGATGTTGGTGGATGTTATGTATGCTATCTTGTTGGTTTTGGTCAAGTGGCGGACATTCGAGTATTCTATTACTCGAGAACTTTGATTGTTTATTTGAGCTTCTTGTCCATGTATATATCCTTACCTTTACCGACAGCCACATTACAACCCGAGAAGTCCTCTTGATTCGAAATTTTTGAGCTTTGATTAATTCTGAGTAATTTAGACGATTGGCAAGCATATGTTGAAACGTGAATATCGACCAATTTTGAGCGAACTCATCACATATTCAAGCAAGGAAATGAGTTAGGCATATATAATGATATACGTGTTGAGAGTTCATCATTTTAAGGCCAAGTCGATATTTGAGGCATATGGTCATACAGTCGTTGGAATTTGACTCGATAGAGTTAAACATTTTGAGGCATGTCTTGTTTGAAACCGTACCATGTTCGTGCCTTGTTTTTGTCTCTTTGTTCGGGACGAACAAAGGTTTAAGTATGGGGGAGTTGTTGTTACCATTTTTGTTACGTTTTTCGTTACTGTTTTGTCGTTCTTTTTCCCCCATTTTAGGTCTTTTTGTTAGATTTTAGTTCGTTTTGTAGTTTGTTGAGTGTTTTGTTCTATTTTGGCTTTTTATGTGTTTTTCGTATATTTTGTCGGTTTTCTACGTTTTTCTTCTTGTCTTTGGTGTGCAGGTCGGAAGGCCCGTGAGGAATGAATTTAGCCCGAAAATCGACTGAGCAATCATGGTTGCGTAGAGGAGTTCCTTAGCTACACATAAGAAAAAACGGAATCCAATTTCGAGTTCGGACGAATCCAAATGGGGCCGAAACGTAAAGTCCAGCAAACTACCGACCCTTTGAAGGTTGGAAGACCCTAGAGGATTGTATTCTGGGGAAAAGTTGAATTTGAAAGCATCATTGAATAGTGGGGTTCGTTAGCGACGCGTAGGAAAAAACGGAATTCAATTTCGAGTTTGCATAAGCCCAAACGAGCCCGAAAAGCAAAGTTGCGCAGCCTAGTTTTTCTTAGCGGCACTAACCCCCCCTGGCAGACAACAATTTCTTCTTTTTCTCAATTTTTGTCCTATTTTGATAGTGCTCGAAAGTGGGGATGTTTGGACCAACATTTCACCCTTGATTTCGGTTTTTAGTGCTCAAGAAGACTTCCCACTCATGATATATGTATCACTCTCCATCTTCACCATTCATCATCTACCATTCTTGAACCAAGGGGGGTTCTCCCCCCTCTTCATCTTTCTTCTTCACCATCTCTTTTCACCACCTTCTTCTTCATATTTTCTCTCTTAAGTTTTTCTTTTGGTTTATCATATTGTAAGAAGGAACACTTTGGAGACTTGTTGCAACTTAGATTTGGCTTGTATTTTGTTCTTGACATTGGAGTTCACATTAATAGTAAGTTTTATTTTCCATTGTGTTTATGATGATTATGGCTATGTTGAATGTGAATGTTGCTGTTGAGATTGAAATGAGTAGCTAACTCCTTAGCTAATTCCTCATTTACGAGCATGACGATAGCTCAATCTTGACGAGTTGTTTTAATTATGAATTGATAAAATCGTGCTTGGTAAATTGATATAACCTAAGAGTGACACTTAGGAAAATATATTGATATAATCGAAGAGTGACACTTCGATTTTGCACGATTGAATATTGATTTATTAAGTTTGAGTTTGTTGATTCTACATGATTAGTTGATTAAACACCTTCTAATCGAATTAGCGACTTTAGAACCGAAAGGGGATGAGTCGTAGAATTAATCGATTTCAAAACCGAGAGGGGAGAAATTGGTGGAATTTGGCTCGTTTGGAGTAGACATGTTCGGAGACGTATTGTCTATGCGTTAATTGTTTCATTAATTAATTCGTTTATGTTTATTCGCATGTTACGAAGAGTTATTGAGGATAAACCGCTAAATGAGTTAATTAGTCGAGCCTTTTAACCGAGTTATTGATTGTCGTTAAATGTGTAGCGAACCAGAAGCGATTATTCCCGATTCCCTAGTTTCTTTATCTTTGTGTCATTTATATTTTTAGGTAGATTATTGTTTTATGTTATTTCTTAGTTGATAATTTTCCAACCCTATCATGATTAGAATGTTTAGGATTTATTTTGCTTTTATGTGTTATCAATACCATTTCCAAATTCGAACCGCCTTCCTCGAGAGATCGACCCGAGGAACGAATCATTCGATTCGGTGCTCGGTAAAATAAAAATAATTTGCTGCAACACGATCTTAATTGTCGTCACTAAATGATATTGTGGCAATATTCGGACGTATAGTAGCACAAAATATCGCCATAAATAATAATTATTCTTGTAGTGACGGCGACATCAACAACAGTGGTGGGGAAAACTATGGTGGCGTGAAGTTGAGATACGACAAGGCCGGGGTTTCGGAGGGGGGGTGTGCTTTGGCATTGTCGAGATGGATTTTTGTAAGATTTTTCTTAATTCGTTTTGATTCCCCTAATTAAAGGGGAGAATTTATTTGGAAAGATAAGATCTCGAACCTTGAAAATAATTATCCTCCAAAATACTTATTTGATAAAACTTCTTACAACTAGTATATATGAAAATAAGTCTTATATGAAAGTTTTACAAAGTCTACCAAATTTACTCAATTTAAAAAGTATTTAACAATCTCAATTGAATACATCCCCCTAAAATGGCCCTACACCTAATTCATGTTTTAATTGGGCTAAAGAAAGACCCAATTAAATTACAACCATAGGTTTTTACCCTTTAGGTATTAAACCCCTCATACAGCTGCGAGATTTTCTGCGTATCAATAACCCTTCATATAGCGGCGAGATTTTCTTCGCGCCACCATGTACGGAAATATCCTTCGTAATGTGGTTGGACGTGGCCAACGTTCCATTTCTGCTGGCCCTTCTTATAATTTCGATCAAATCATGAAGGACCTTCTTTCACTAAAACCCATACCATTTGTCGATTTTCCGATCATATCATATGATGGTCATAAACCCAGTGCAGTACTCAATCTGCAATGGGAAAGGGCAATGCTACATGTACAATTGTAGTTTACAATATTAGTTAAAAACAACATTAGGTCCCAGCACAATACATGTTGGGTTCTTCTGATAATAATGTATGTGGCTATTCAACTAAAATGAGTGTTACAAAAGATATTATGTTCAAGTAACACTAATTATTGGTGACTATAGGACTACATTTTCTGTGCATGTAACATTCGATTCTAGTGATAATAGTAATGTGTGACAACAACATTGAATCGTAAGTGACAATACGATATATTATTACGACAATAATGTGTCACTAAATGGTCCAAATGTAGTGACAATACATACTCATCCCTATAACATTAATTTAAAGTGACGATCAATGTATGTAGCAAAAAACTGGATTTTAGTAACATTACTCAATGTGACTAAAAGTTTGGTTGTACTGATGACTATATATAGTAATGTTTTACTAATACTTTTAGTCACGGTATATACAACCACGACCTAGTAACGATCTTAATTGTCGTCACTAAATCATATCGTGACAACATTCGGACATATAGTAACACAAAATATTGCCACAAATAATAATTATTCTTGTAGTGGGCGGCGACAACAACAACAGTGGTGGGGAAAACTATAGTGGCATGGAGTTGAGGTACAACAAGGCCGAGGTTTCGGAGGGGGTGTGCTTTGGAGTGTAGATATAGATTCTTGTAAGATTTTTTTTGGGAAAAAGCTATTTGTACAACTTTTTTGTAAAACATGATGTGACGGACTATCACGATTACGCGTACTGTTTATATCCCGAGCTTGTTTCTGGTAGCATATTGAAACTCGATGTTCTATTGTAAAATAATTGCAGCAGGTAATTAAATTTTGTATGTGGTGATAGTGCAGCGCTGCAGAAAATCCCATTGGGCCAATTGAGCACGCTGTCCACGTAGATTCCATATGATTTAAAGCTGAAAACGTTGAATGTTGGGGCACAAATGATATCATTCAAATTGAGGGTTTTTTCAAACATGGAGTGTTCTTAACAAGAGAGCTCAGGGTGTGGGTTTGCAAGCGAAGGAGATCAAAGGCCCAATACCAGCAGCATCAATCCGTAATACTTGCAGTTTGAGCTTAAATTGTAATTGAACTTTTTGTTCTACTTTTGTTCATAATACTACTCTGCATGGTGATACTTTTGAGCTTGATTGGATGATTGAAGATATACTTGCACTTTGAGCTTGATATATGGTAACTCGAACTTGTTGTCCTACTTTTGTTCATAATACTACTTTGATCTTGCTCTAAGTAGCCAACTATTATAGGTTGTTAGTGTTGGAACACTTTTGGTGAAATCTGGAGTTCTCTGTAGCTAATCTTGTCGTTAATTAATTCACTTCATCTTGGCTTGTAATTTACCATTTTTTATCTTTCGGTGAAATTCGAATGATCAACATCAGGTATGAAGTTGCTTAAATTCTCTGAATTTTCCGCTCAATTATGTCTGCACAAATGTGTTCAAATTACTGTTTCATTATATCAATCTAAAAGGATTATGTTTTCTAACGACACTTAGATATGTTAAAAGGATAACACATTTTATCTACAGAAAATGGGAAAAGGGGAATATGGTGGTGGCTGTTTAACCGCTGAATAACTATATTTTCTTAAAAAAAATGTAGACTAATATGATCATGAACCGTCACACTTTTGTTTGAATCTCTCCAATTCTTATAAGGAAAGATATAGGCTTCTAAGGCTGACATGTGACGATTTTTTTCTCCCCAAAATATCTTCCTTTTGTCCCCTTTTTACATCTACTGCCACTGCACAGTAAGCTTCCTTGACACGCCATTTCACTTCTGCACGACTCCACCTACCACACACAGAATGCAGATCTCAAAATCCTTTACTTTCTCCCTCGATCTCATTTTTCTTTTCCAAATTTTAATCGCGCAGAAGAAAAGTCTCAAGCAATGGAGGTACTGCCGGTGCAAGACTGAGTGCTGCCGAAAGAATTGCGACCTGGAAAGCTGGTATCGTTCTTCTCATAACCTCACTCCATTTTTTTCTCTTAATTCCTTACAAAACCCTAATTTCATCGCTTTTTTTATCTATTGTGGGAAGCAAAACGCGCCGTTTTGAGCGAGAAGAAACCATGCCGCATTCAAGGATTTTGCTCCCCGAAAATCTGCTGCGAAGGGACTTTCGCGCTTGCGTGGTGGATGTCCTTTCGGGATTTGCGGTGTGTTTCGCCGAAACTATCGGTGTGGTATGATTTATTTTCTTTTCGAACTATCGTTTTATTGCCTTTTTCTTGAATTCTTCTCTACCTTGTGCTGCTCATTATCTCAACTAACAATTTCTGTTTTACAGTTGCGATGTTCTTCTGCTCTATTACTTTTGGTGAAATAAGAAAGCACTAAGAGTTCTGTTAACCGTTTATATAAGGATTATAAATGCGTCAGTAGAGCAGGTTGCCTCTCTACAACTTCTCATTTGTACAATAAGAATTATCCAACCAGCTTTCTTATAGTGTTTGCAAAAGAATGTCACCAAAAATTACGAATTTTGTGGAAATGATTTAGTGCAACATAAATGAAAAAATATTTGAGAATCAAAAAGTGATAGTGTTTTCTTATATAAACTAACACTTGGAATAAATTCGAAGAGAAATGTCTGGAGAAATCTTTGTGCTAAAGATTTTGGGATCTGCTGAATTTTGAGTCCATGTTGTGTTTTTCATTCTTTTTATCACTCTCTTTGACCTGTGATCATTTCTTCTATCTTAGTGCGCATCCAACTAATGTGTCATGTGATCAGATTTTTAGGAACTCTCTAGGTATTGGGTTTTCTTGCAATAGATTTGTTCTCATAGTTATCTATAGCTTTTGCTTTTTGCTCATAACAATATCATTAGTTTATAATCGACTAAGGTTTGAAAATACAACCTCAAGTTATCTGTAAGAGTTGCAAACATCAATTAAAGTACAAACACCTCCTTGAGATTTGTATTAACCGAGAAAATACCTCACTTTAATGGTTGATTAGTAAAAGAAAAAAAATATGTCAGGGTTTATTTGTAATTATGAAGATAACTAGATTTTTTTTGTGTGTGATCTTAAGTTTATACTTGATCCTGAATAACGAAAAAAAGTTAACCAGCAGAGTTTTGTTTGAAGTCATTGGCCTGCGGCAAAGCTGCATCGGGTTTAGTTATTAGCTTTTTTTTATCCTGTGTAATCTAGCTGCATGAATATGATTTCCCAGTTTCTTCTTTCAGACAGTGTTTTTTTTATTTTTTTCGTTGAAATAGCATGGCATTCTATCAGGGTTTAGTACTCTGCAGAGAAGAAGGTGCTTCTGCACTTTGGAGGGGTTGGTCGAGCAAACTTATTCGTGAGGTAATGATCTGCATAACTCTGCATTCTTAGCTATATCAACTGGTTGTGCTATTCAGTTTCTACCATTTTCATGCTTCTTATATGAAATTTCTCTATATGTGTTGAAATCTAAGAACAAAGGTGAAATAATTGTTGCATGCAATTTTATGTGAAATCCGTAGTAATGGTGAGTGGTTATGAGAATATTTTTTTAAAAAATTAGGTGAAATGATGAGTGGGAGAAAAGAGAGTAATTTTGAGAATCTCGATCGAAAATTTTGAAATTTTCCTTTGGGTTAAAATTTCCCAATACGAGATTATTTCCAATAGTCTGCTAACTGTGATTGATCCAATTTTGTTTTACGGTTCTTCTGCTCGAGAGGAAGTACCAGGAAGACATGGATATACTGGTTATATGTATGCTGATGTTTTCTGTTCAATTCTTCAGACATTACACATTCTACTCCGGATCTCACGGGATATTACTCAAGGACAGATATATATCTACAGACAACATCAAAATAGACAGGTAAAGAGGGGGTATCCAGTTAGTGGCTGATATGTAAGACATTAGAATCACACATTTTTTAGATATTACAGACAAGTTTTCTCCGAAATCTTAACGTATCAAAGTTTCTTCATATTATCTGTTGAAGAACCTTCTAATAGTACTAATACAACCTTTAATATACGTAACATATTTTGCGTTAATATATCTGACATTTTCTGCTTTAATATACGATATAGTGCCAGTGATGAGCGAATGACTCGGAGGGACCACTCTGATGTGTCTAACCAGGTAAGTTTTACCGATATTTCGATTCTCTAAAATTATTCCTGGCTCCTCAACTGGGCTCGGGCATTCCATTTTTCTTTTCGCAAATTGAAATTGTATTTCTAATACAACTTTTTTCTTGTATTCCCAGCTATAATCAAATTATGCCATCGGGAAAGATGTCCAGACCTGTTTTTGGATAAGAAGCACTTTCCTTAGAAGATCTGGTTGGTCGCTTGTACAAAATCCAATTTTATTATTCTAACTTTCTTCGATAAGAAACAACAGGAATATAGCTACTAAAGACAGCCCGACTTTTGTCCGCACTAAGTAAAACATACCATTACCCTATACAAAGCAGTTCTTTTTTTAAGTTTTGCATTGTCTTAACACTTCAGTTTGTACAATTGTACCTTGATTCATGGACAACTTTGATAGGAAGTTCGTGACGCACTTTGAGATACATTCCTTACAATAAAAAGGCTGAAACCATAGTGCAGGTACTGTGTTGAGAACGAGTTCATGCTTTCACTTATATTGATCATGTGTGAAGAGTATCCTTGGCTAATTATTCAGGCTGTGAAGAAACTTGGGATTGCCAATTTGTTTACTAGAAGTCTTCCTGTTCGGATTGCAATCGTGGGTCCTGTTGTTCGCCTGCAGTGGTTTTTGTATGACAACATCAAAATGCTAAATGGAATGTAAGTATGACTCTTCAAAACTTCACCATCCGAAAGAAAAAAACTATGCAAAACACGAAGATCAAACTTTCACCTCCACCAAGAAATGGTTGGTCTTGTCGCGTGTAGGACCTCGTGCTCATGCCTTACGGCTATACAGTCATGATCCAGCCGACCAAATTCAACGGCCCGTGTCAGAACGGGTTCTTTTTTTAGGTAATTTTGACCCGAACCTTGACATCTGCAATTTTCTTTTCT